TATGGTTTTGTTTCTTTCTTCTATGAAACTTTCTAGTTCGGCCTCCTAAACGGGGTCCGAGTCGATGGGGTCCGAGGATCGCGCCGCAGTGTCGATAGATCGGCGATGCGGCTCGATGTGGAGCCCGAGTTTCCTGACGCTCGCGTCGCCGATGCATCGCAGATGTCGCCAATGCATCGGCGATGTATCGGCGATGCGGCGCGATCGTCTGACCCCATGTACTTCGACCCCATCTGGCAGTCCTCTAAATCCCCGCTGCTTCGACGAAAAATGCAACCGCTGAGACAAGGGCTCTCGGGGGCCTATCGCCGACCTGTCGGCGATAAATCGGCGATTCGGGCTCGACGCTCCCCCCCCCCTTCCAGGAACTGCCGTGTTCCCCTCCTCGCCGCGGGCGATCCCCTCCGCCTCGGCCAGCGGCGCGCCCCGCGCGGCCCATGGCCCGCCGCGCGCGGCACCGCCGAGGGGGGCCGGCCGCGGCCGGGGCCGGCAGCAGGCCGAGGGCCACCTCGTGGGAGGAGGCGAGGGCGAAGGGCCGAGGCGTCTGGAAGGCCCAAGGAGGAGGAGGAGGAGGAGGAGGAGGAGGAGGAGGAGGAGGAGGAGGAGGAGGAGAGAGGAGGAGGAGATAGGGTAGGAGGAGGAGGAGGGGGGAAGAGGAGGAGGAGAGAGGAGCCGAAGGAAGAGGAGGAGGTGGAGGAGGAGGAGGGGGGGTAGGGGGGAGGGGGAGGGGCGAGGAGGAGGGGGAGGGGGAGGATGAGGATGAGGAGGGGGAGGATGAGGAGGAGGAGGAGGAGGAGGAGGAGGAGGAGGAGGAGGAGGAGGAGGAGGAATGTAAACCCAGGAATCATCAACGATGTTGGAATGAACCCTCCTTCCAAGCTCCCTCTTCATAGGCTCCATTCAAGGATTGATGCTCACTTGAGGGAGCTGGCTCGTTGGAAGACAACCGTTTGAAGACCTTGAGTCATGCCAAAACATTGTTTTCGGGACTTCCACGCCACGGATCAGCTTGACTGCTGCGTCTTGACGATCTGGAGTCGTGCCAGAACGCCATTTTTGGGACTTCAACACCGCGAAACAACATAACTGTTGCACCCTCAAAGTCCTGAATCCTTCCAAAACACCACTTTGGTACGCGGATCATGGGAATCCGTAAAACCCTTGCAGAGTTTCAAAGCGAATGTGCGCGGCGCTAAGGCGATAACCACATTTTGAAAAGGAACCGCCCTCAATCGGTGAAGATCTTGCAACGTTAAACAAAATAATATGCGCAGCGCTACGGCGAGAGCCACAGTTTGAAAAGGAACCTCCCTCAATACGTGACACTCTTGCGTGTTTGAGACCGAATGTGCGCGGCGCTGAGGCGAAAGCCACATGTTGAAAGCAAGTCGCGCTCAAGCTGTGGAACTCTTGCATCTCTGATATAAAACGAGTGTGCGCGGCGCTAAGGCGAGCGCCACATTTTGAAAACCAGTCGCCCTCCATCTGTGAAACTGGTGCCAGCGTTTAAGCTCCAGGGTCATAAATGGTGACGAAGTCTCAGGCGAAACGCCCGGCCCGCCCTAAAAGCTGGCCTCTGGGTGCGACAAGGAGATGTTAGTTGTAAGGAGAAGGAATGGAGGAGGAGGAGGAGGAGGAGGAGGAGGAGAGGAGGAGGAGAAGGGAAGAAGGAGAAGGAGAAGGAGGAGGAGGGGAGGAGGAGGAGAGAATGGAAGGGGGAGGGGGAAGGGGAGGAGGAGGAGGAGGAGGATGAAGGAGGAGGGGAGGGAGGAGGAGGAGGAGGAGGAGGAGGAGGAGGGGGAGGGGGAGGAGGAGGATGGAGGCGGGGGAGCGGGGTGGAGGGAGATGTTGGTTTCGATGCTTCCCCCCGTTTAGAGCGGGCCCCCCCCCCCCTGTCGTATCGTTGTCTCTCCCGCAGCGCCGAGGACCTCGAAGCTTCAAGCCTCGAGCATCATCCTCCCCCCTCCCCTCCTCATCTCCTCCTCATCCCTCCCCTCCTCCTCGCCTCCGCCCCGCCTCCGCCTCCTCCTCATCATCCTCCTCCTCCCGATTCTCGTTCGATGATCCGCGATCCTCCTGATCCTCCTCTCTCCCGTCTCCTCCCTACCTCCTCCCCCTCCTCCTCCCCCTCCTCCTCCCCCTCCTCCTCCTCTCCCCCTCCCCTCCTCCTCCTTCCTCCTCCCTCCTCCTCCCTCCTCCTCCTCCTCCTCCTTCCCCCGTCTCCTCCTCCTCCTCCCCATCCTCCCCCTCCCCCCTCCTCCCTCCTCCTCCCCCCGTCCTCCCTCTCCTCCCCCTCCTCCTCCTCCTCCCCAGCTGCAGCAGAGGCCCCGCCGCCCGCTGCTCTGCGCCGCCGCCGCCCTGGCGGGCGTGCCCCGCTCCGTGGCCGGAGCGCCCCCGCCACTGCCGGCGCTGGAGTTCCGAGCAGTGGCAAAGCGCCGTGGCTTGCCTACGGTAGGTTTGCGTCGTGTCGACCAGCGGCGACCCCGCCGCCGACGTTCAACGTTGAACGCCGCCGGCGACCCAGAATCGATCGATGTTGAACGATCGGACGTTGCGGCAGCGGCCGATCGTTCAAGGTTGAACGATCCCTGCGGTGTCAGAAACCAACGCTGGGGTCGGCACGACACGAACCTGCCGTATGGGCTTAAGTCGGGCCTGTCCCTGTACAGGAGGACTACGCAAACAAATAGTAAAAATAGTTTGGGGACTACTATTGTTTGGCCATTTCAGGCTCTTTCGGAGTATTTTCCCGTATTCTGCATTTTTCGCCCAAGATCCGTTTGTAGCAGAGAATGTTCTGAGAACCTTTTGTGGTCTGCACGAGATGTTCGCAGAGGTGGGGGGGTCTGGCCCCTCCCCCTTTCGCGCGGTCCTGGCTCGGCTCTTCCCAAGCTTGTGCCGCCAGCTTGCCGTGCACCGATAAGAGGGGAGGTCCCGCCTCGCCCTCGGGTCTGGCTGAGACTGTCTTCTGTGAACTCATCGGGTTTATGCTCTAGGAGCATTGAATTTGGTCCTCGGAGCATCTGTGGGTTCTGGGAACATGTCGTGGTAGGCCTCTCGGAATGCCGGGACGGTCGCTCCCTGCTCCAGGAGTGCGGGGCCGCGCTGCCGCAGGCGGGTGGGGGCGACGCCGCGGGCGCGCGCGAGGAGCCGCGGGCCATTCGACGGCGAGGTCCCGAGCCCTGCCCATAGCGAGCGAGCACTAAGTCGGGCATGTCCCTCTACAGCCGGGGAAACGTAAGACTCGAGTGCGCCAGAGAACTCGGGTTGCGACACCTCTTTATGGGTGTGTGTATGTATGTGTATGTGTGTGTATGTATGTGTGTTGTTCGTCAGCCCACGCGGGGGCGGAGGCCCGGTCCGTTTGGAAAATGAGCTCGAGGTGGGTATCGCCGTGTGCGCTGTCCACTTGAGACGTGGGGTCGCCTGCCCGGCGGCGGCCGCCGTCGGTGTTGGGCAACGGTGGGTGCGACTGCGTACTCTCTAACGGGTACTTGCTTTGGAGATTCGCGGAAAGTTGGCATTATTGTGCCTCGTTATGGCATTGCAGCGTTGCCCACATCGGAGAGGCTTTGGGTTCCCCGGGTCGTTGACCATAGTGCCCGTTAGTGGAGTCCCCGTTGGAGGGGCGCTTGACTGCCTCCCCGCCAAGTCTGGCCCTCGGCCATGGGTCGGGCCGGGCGAAAGGGGGGGATTGGGAAAGGGGGGTTACGAAATTTGCTGCATGCAGCCAGCTGGTTTCGGCCTCACCGAGGGGCCCATTCCTCGATACATAGCCGCCTCCGGCGCCGGGAGGCGCCGGGAAAATCAGCTACGTGAGCTGATTCTCAAACCCCCCCTTTGCTATCCCCCCCTTTCGCCCGACCCGAATGGGCCATGGGATTCCAGCCTCGGCTTTACCTTGGAGCGTCCGAGTCGGCGGCGGAGTCCGAGCCCTGCCCTGGCCGCTCGGCGACTCAGGGGCACTCGTGGGGCGGCGGGGTCGGGGTGCGAAAGTCGTCCGGGCCGATTTCCGGACAGACCCCCAACGCTTCGATGTGAAATTATTAACGTTTCGCATATCCCCACCTTTTGTCTGGCTCCTGGATTGCATCGGCCCCGCCGCCCTGGACGCTGTCGTGAGCCGCCTGATCCGCGGCCCCGCGCGCGTTAGGTAATTTAGTCGCGTCCGCGGCCCGTTCGCGACCTCCCGCCGTTGGCGCTTCCGCCTGCGGCTGTAAAAAAAAAAACCCACCAGCCCCTCCAGAAACGATGTCCATGCGAGTTGAGGTGATCAGGGGAGTGCGGGAGCAAAGAGAGGGGCGACCGAACCGTGCGAAGGAGGGAGGAGGAGAAGGAGGAGGCTGGATGGATGGATGAGGGAGTGGAGAGAATGAGGATGAATAGGATGAGGAGGAGGAGGAGGAGGAGGAGGACGAGGAGGAGGAAGAGAAGGAGTGGGAGGAGGAAGAAAGAGCAGAAGGAGGAGGGCAAGCAAAAGGGCCAGAGGTCTCTTGTATGCCTCTCGGAGCCTCTTGGGGGATCTCTTGGTGGCCTCTTGGTGGCCTCTTGGGACGTCTTGGGGGTCTCTTGGCGGTCCTGGGGTGTTCTTGGGCGTCTTGGGTGCCTCGGGGGTGCCTCTTGAGGCCGCCCTGGGTCCTCTTGGGGGCCTCCTGGGGGCCTCTTGGGGGCCTCTTGGGGCCATCTTGGGGCCATCTTGGGACTTCTTGGGGCCTCCTGGACGCTTCTTGGAGGAGATCGATCGAAGAAGAGGGGAGCTCATTTTAGCGTTGCCCCCCCAAGAGGCCAAGATGGGGCCAAAACCCTTAGTAAAACCAATGCGACCGACCCCGTCCAGGTCCAGGGGAGGGGGTAGGGGTGAACCCCTCCCCGAAGGGGAAGAAGGGGGGGTGGAAGAGGAAACTCCCTAAACCACCTACGCCCAGAGGGCTGGTGGGATTCGAGACGAAGTTTTTAAGTCGCAGGTTTCGGCCTCTCGGGGCCCTTACCCGGCCTCGGGTCAGTCACAAAACGACTCAGGGTGAAGAGTGACCTTGGGGAAAAAGTCCAGACCATTGGGACCCCGTACTCGGCACGATCGAAATGGCCACGGAAAGAAAAGGTACGAAGACTGACAGCAGTCCTTGTCCACTTTGAACAGGATTCGCTGTCGGCGTCGTCGCGAACCTTGTCCATTCGAGACAGAAGGCCGCCTGCCCAACCGCGAGCGCTGTCGGTGCTGGACAAGAGTTGCTGCTGGGCATTGTACCCATTGCTTCCGTACCAACTGCGGGCGTCCAAAGCCGCCTCCATGGCAGGCAGTCATCCTGAATCAAGATCGGTTTGGCATCGTTCGGACGTGTGCATGTTGCTCGGCGAGGCCAGCGCCAGCAAAATTGGACAGTCTTGGAGCATCTTGGGCCATCCTGAGAACAGAACGCGCCCGAAACCAAGCGATGCATGGGGAGTGGACGCCCGAGCGATGGCAAGGCGGCAAACATATCCGTATCCGCGCCCTCGCGGTCTGGATTCTGGGGCGCGGTCCCACAGATACGCGGTAGCACAGATACGCTCCGCGCGGGGCGTCCCCAATTGACCGCTTCGTACCCGCGGGGTCGCGACCCAGGGGCACGGTCCGCGAGACCGCGGATACGGATATGTTTTTCGCACACGGCCGAACATGTTCGCGCCGTGAAAACTCACGACGGAAGGAGTGCGTTATCGTTTTCGGCTTCTCGGGCCGTCACAAGACAGCCCAGGTTGAAGAACCGGCCCTGGGGAAAGGGTCAGAGCTTGCGGGGGGCACCGCGTGTGGAGCAACACCAAGGGATCGCATGCCTCGAGTCCTTCCGTCGGTTTCTCGGCGGCTTTCCGGCCTCGGGTATCTGCGCCCCGAGCTCGGGTGCCAGCAACGGCGCTGGCGCTGGCCGGGCGGGGTTGGAGCGTGCCCGCCCTGAAGGGCCGCGGCGGCCTGGAGCGCTCGGAGGATCCCCTTCCTCCGAGTCCGTATCCGGTTTCTCGGGAGGGGTCCGGCGAGACGTCAGGGGGGTCCAGGCGCAGGGGGGGATCCATCGACCCTCAATCGCCGCCGATTGATCGCCGATCACGGCCTGATGGCCCGCCCCGCCCCGGAATGCGCGGGTTCGTGATCGGGGGTTGATCGCCATGCCTACTCGCGATGTGTCGGCGATTCAAGGTTGACGTTCCTTTCCCCTCCCCCTTCCCACCACTAACGTTGCCGAGGAAAGGGGGCAGGAACCCGAGGCGGAAGATGGAACCGGCAGTCGCGGCTGCGCATGAGGAGGCAGAGGGGAACGTCGCCCGCTCGTTCCCGGCCCCCCCGGTCCCCCCTATGAGATCCGATATCACGGATCGGTCGGTCGGTGTGCCAGGCGCCCGCACGGCGCATCGGCAAACAAAGCTATTGTGAGCTCCGCACACGCCCTAAAACACATAACGGTTATGGTACACTGCCCGTGGGCGCAGGAGGAGGGGAAGGGAGGAAGAGAAATCGTGTCTACGCGCTCCAAGAAAAAATGGTCAACTCAAGACCTGCCCGCCCAATTACATACATCACGGAACGGTTGCAAGATCACAGATTTCACAATCTGAGCCCCAGGTCGCATCCTACTGCTGCATGTGTCGACTCGGGCCGATCCGCGAGGGTTCCGGCCGAAATGTGGCAAAACCGCACCGTGCAACAGAATCGCACCGCCAGGAGCTCAGGGCCCCTCGCGCCCGCTTCGCTCGGGGGCGGCCAAGAGGGGTGGCGGGGGCCATGCTATCTCCCCGGATTCATGGCGCCTCTTATTGCGAAGGCCTTACGGCCGTTGCCGCCGACCCTGTTCGCAATGCGCAGCAAGAGGCACGGGCTGTGGGGGGGTTTTGGGGAACGGGGAGAAGGACGAGAAGGTGGGGGAGGGAGGTGTCGTATCTGACCCGGGACTTCCCCGGGACTCCCCTGGGACCCCCCCCGGGACCCCCCCTACCCCTTCCCCGTCGGGGAAGGGAAAGGGAAGGGGCTTCCCTTCGACTCAATTACGACGTTGCTCAAGGTCGGTACGGGGGGGGGGCGTCGTATCTGACCCGGGGGGGGGGTCGCTACCCCCCCCCCTCCCGGCGGGGGAGGGATCAAAGGGAAGGGGCTTCCCTTCGACTGAATTACGACGTTGCTCAAGGTCGGTACGGGGGGGGGGCGTCGTATCTGACCCGGGGGGGGGTCGCTACCCCCCCCCCCTCCCGGCGGGGGAGGGATCAAAGGGAAGGGGCTTCCCTTCGACTGAATTACGACGTTGCTCAAGGTCGGCTTGGCTCGAGCGGCTCGGGCGCGGCTCGGGCGGCTAGGGCGCAGGACAGAGACGACGAGTACAAAGAATAACGGAGATGACGGCTCGAACGGAAAAGCCCCTCACACACGCCGACAGGGTCGGCGGAGTTCACTACGTCCCGGGCCCCCCCCTGGGCCGCGCACATGCCGACGGCCATGATCTGCGCCCCCCCCTTTTGGACGCCCCCCCCCGATGCGCGGAGGACGCCGCCGACGGCGCCTGGGCCGCCGACGCCGCCTTCTTTGGGCCCAACGCGCTCCAGTTCGTCGCCGGCACGCGGGGGGCCTGCGCGGCGGGCGCGCTGGTGCTGCGGCCCGGGGGCGCGGCGGTGAACTTCTCTCCGGGCGCGGGGCTCTGTGTGGTCAAGGCCCGGGTTCGGGCTGCGCCAAGATCGATGATCCTCAGGGCGTGTGCTAGCCCAATGTGTGTTGCCCCGTTCAACCCAACCCGTCGATTATCACATCGCCTTCGTCGTAGTGAAGGGCCTCGGTGGGCAAGCACACGCTGGCTCTAACACACGTTCTGAGGATCATCGGCAAGAGGAGGCCGCCACCCGTGATTTCCTGATGCGCTGCCTCGTTCGTCGTCGTCGTCGTCGTCGTCGTTTCCCTCCCCCCCTCCTCCCCTCCCCCTCTCCGCCTCTCTCCTCTCCTCCTCTCCTCCTCCTCCTCCTCCTCCTACTCCTCCTCTTCCCCCCCTCCTCCTTCTCCCTCCTCCCTCCTCCCTCCTTGATTTAGCCTAAGCAAACACATGGTCTGGTAATCGCGGTTTATGTGTTACGTGGTGTTACCGTATGTTTAATGTACGGTCGGTTGTATGTTATGTTTGATGGTTTGTTGTGGGTCACATATGTTATAGGTTCCTACGTGTGCGATCCGTTGGATTATCATTGTGAGTTAGCTGTGTTTCGTTTATACCGCAAGCGTTCAGTCAGTTAGCACATATGATATGTTGCATGTTACGGTGCATGCCATGGGCGCGTATGTATTTGTTCAACTACGTATATGATTCGTGATATGCTGAATAATGGCTGTTATATGGTACCCCATCGCGAAGCGCATGTGATGTTTTATGCATATGGCCCACGTGGTGCTGTACAGTGTGTGTGTGTGTGTGTATTTGGCATGGTTGTGCGACGCAGGGAGGGCGAAAGAGAAATTGGAGGGTAGGTGGGCGGACAGGACAGGAGGAGGACATGTCCTCAGGAGTGTTTTCGGGGTGGGCGACAGGAGGAGAAGAGCGGACGGCCGCAGCTCCTGCGGCCGCGCGGTGAGGGGCTCTAGTCCCCATGGGTTTTGTTGACGTTGTGATGCCCCAGTGCCGTTGCTGCTGCGACCGTCGCCGGCGTCGTCGTGTGATCTCCGCCGCCGACGCCCGCTCGAACGCCGTTTGCGCGGCGCCCGTGGCGACCGCTTCGAGCAAGGCCTGAACATGGAGGAGGTCTCGGGCAAGAGCCTCGCGTGTGAGTGAATTGTGAGGGAGTCTCAGACAGTAGCCCCCTCCCTATGAAGCCCGCAGCTCGCGTTAGTAATCCGAGCGGGTCATCCAACAAATTGCAACAGTTGTTTTTTTGTTGGCTCCCGAGGCGCAGATGTGGAGGAACTCTCGAGCGGGAGCTGGTCTGTGAGCGAACTGCGAGGAAGTCTCAAGCGGGAGCCCCCTCCATTTTGGGCCCGCAGGTCATGTTAATAATCCGAGTAGGCCACCCAACAATTTCTGACTGTCGTGATTGTTGGGCTCCTGAGGCGTGAATATTGAGGACGTCTCGAGCGGGAGCCTAATCTGTGAGTGAATTGCAAGGACTTCTCAGGCGGGAGCCATTTTCCTAAGCGGCCCGCAGTCTATGTCAATAGTCCGAGCGGGTCATCAAAAAAAACGTAATTGTCGTCATGTTTGGCCTCCTCGGGCCTGAATATGGAGGAAGTTTCGAGCGGGAGCATCGTCTGTGAGTGAATTGCAAGGAAGTCTCAGGCGGGAGCCCCCTCCCTATGGGGCCCGCAGCTCATGTAAGTAATCCAAGTGGGTCGCCCAAATACCTGTAATTGTTGTGACTTTTGTTGGCTCCTGAGGCGTGAGTCTTGAGGAAGTCTTGAGCGGGCGCCTCGTCGGTGAGTGCATTGCGAGGAAGTTCCGGGCAGAAACCCTCTCCCTATGGGGCCGCAGCTCACGTTAGTAATCCGAGCGGGTCATCCACAAATTCGCAACGATCCTCATTTTTGGGATCCCCAAGCTTGAATATGTAGGAAGCCTCAGACAAGAGCTTCGTGTGGGAGTGAAGTGCGAGGAAGTCTCAGGCGGAAGCCCCCTCGAGCGGGAGCCTCGTCTGTGAGTGAATTGCGAGGAAGTCTCAGGCGGGAGCCCGCCCCCACTAATGGGGCCCGCAACTCATGTTAGCAATCCGACCTGGTCATTCAATTCCCGTAAACGTCGTCAGTGTTGGCCTCTTGAGGCGTGAATCTGGAGGAAGTGTCGAGCGGGAGCTTCGTCCAGGAGTGGATCGCAGGAGCGTCTCCAGCTCGCGTTCGGAAGAGGTGGCACATATTGGGGGCTCGATTTTCAGCTGGCCTGCCAGTTGCCCTAATGGAGCACCCCTCCCGATGGGCTCGCACTTCATGTTGGCAATCCGAGTGTTGTATGCCGAGGTGGTCGTCGGCAAACTTGTTTGCCGAGACTCCCTGAAGCGCGGGCCGCCGGCGTCCTTGCGGAAAGCGCCGGAGAAAATCGACAAGAGAGCAGTGATTTCCAGGGATGAAACTGAGCAGCTCGCGGCAGAACTGGACTTCAAGGTGCTTCCGCCTGAGCGTGGCCGCGATAAGCTCGAACCCTGCGGGTCTGTCCCAACGGCTGGCTACCGCGCCCCAGCGGTTCGCGGGGTTGTCCCAACGGCCTCGCCCGCGGGGCTGCCCCAACGGCTTCGCGATCTGCCGCATCGGCGCCGAGGAAAATCAACTTGCCCTGGCCAGGAGCCAGAGGAGGAGCAAGGGGAGAACAGGCAGGAGGAGGATAAGAAAGCGATAGCGAGTAGATGGCGAGGAGGAGGACGAGGAGGAGGAGGAGGAGGAGGAAGAGGAGGAGGAAAAGGAGGAGGAAAAGGAGGAAGAAAAGGAGGAACGTGGGAGGAGGAGGAGGAGGAGGAGGAGGAGGAGGAGGAGGAGGAGGAGGAGGAGGAAGGGAGGAGGAGAAAGAGGATGATGATGATGAGGAGGAGGAGGAGGAGGGGGAGGAACAGGAGGAGGAGGACAAGGAGGAAGAGGAGGAAGAGGAAGAGGAGGAGCAGGCACCGGAGGAAAAGGAGGGGGGAGGGCGAGAAGGAACAGGAGACGGAGGGCGAAAAGGACAAGGAGGAGGAGGAGGAGGAGGAGTCGCATCAGGGACTGGAAGACGCCTCTGTCAAGGCGACGAGGAGGACACGAGGGGCACATTAAATCGATTCCCATGCAGGGTCCGACTGTCGGAATGATTGTCTATCAAGCATGTTAGTATGTACGATGGTACATATGTTGTTTCGAATGGCATTATGTCTGCGGCTATATGGTTATATGTGTGTTATCATTGCGGGCGTTGTTGTGATACGTGTATGCTATACCATGTAATATGGATGCTATCATGTAGGTAACCCACATTGTTCATGGGATTACACATGGCATTCAATAAGAGCGCATGGGGCATATGATACGACCGTAACTGTCAAGTGTTGTGGCGTGCCTGTTAACACCACATAGAACGCACCGGCCACGTTTAATTTTCAGCTGTTGCGGAAGGCCATGGCATTATGAAGGGGTGCCGCCCGGGCTTTTGAGACAACGACGATCGATTGAGGATCGAAGATCGAAAAGCTGTTTGACGTCATTGTGCGTTTCTGGGAGTCCTGGGGGCGTGGAGGGACATCCGTTTCCTCCACGTGGCGATCCCGTTTGTGGTGAACCAGTACCCTTTTTTGGCATTGCCTGCGGGCTGCGCGTGAATTTGGCTCTTCGCTGGAATGATATTTGGCGCGGGTCTACCCATCAGGAGTTCTTTCAGGGGGAACGCACCGGCCCCCAAATCGGACAACGTTAGGGGGGGAGATGCATGGCCAAGGCCGGGCTGCGCTTGAGAGCGACTCTGTGCCCGAGCGGTTTTGGTTAGGGTGGCACGTTTCGGGTTCGAGGTTCGAGGCATTCGTCGGTTATCCCGGTTTTCAGGTCTCGGGTGCCTTCCAGCAGTTGCGCCTCGCCCAAAGCGTTCTGGGGGGGCCCAGATCGTCCCGAGAGGCTGCTGGACACCCGAGTGATGATCCGAAGCCCGGACAACGAGGATCATTTTGGGATGATCGGACGATGATGACTGATCGCCGGATAGCCCGCCCCGACCAGCAGCCCGCGGGTTCACCATCGGGGGCCCGTCGCCAAGTTTTTCGATTGGTGATGTGTCGCCGATTCCAGGTCGATGCTTCCACACCTGGGCTCGTCCCTCCTCACGGTCCCTTCAAGGCTACGCGTGCGAGCGGCTTTTCGCTGGAGTGACCTCTCCTGGCGTGGGCACACCCAGTCATCCAGCGGTTCGAAGAAAGCGGGGCGCGGCTAGTGTTTATGGTTATTGGCCTCTGGAGGCCGCTTGGTCCCGGGGACCGTCCAGAAACGGCGCGGCGGAAAAATATGCTCGTTGTCGAGGGGGTTGGGGGCCGATGCCTCGAACAAGTCGAGGCGCCGGATGTCCGCGCACACATTTTCGTCGGTCTTCTGTGGTTGTCCTACTTCAGGATGCGTTCCTGCAGATGCGGCCGGAAAGCCATGTCCGAGCGCAACCCAGCTCTGGACGACACTCAGGCGTGCAACCACCCAGGCCCAGGCGGCGGTGGTCTCTGCTTCTCATCATTCCGGCCGTCACCATTTTTTTCGAGACGCGTTACCCCGACATCCGCCAGCATGATTTGTTTCATCCGCGGCCCCAGGGGTCCCGTCCGCTTTCCCCGGGCAGGGTAGTTTTTCGTCCAGGATCCGTTTTTGGTAGTCCCGGGCCTGAAAACGGCCCCCGGGGACCGAAGGAGAGGAGAAACGCCGGCTGAAAAACCCAGGTTGTGGAAAATCCGGGTGCGTCTGAGGTGGCCACCCTTGCCCAGGGTCCCCTCGCTTCGCGGAAGCCGCCCATGGCGTGGGCGAGAAACATGTCCGCATCCGCAGCCTCGCGGGCCGGGCCCCTGGGCCGCGACCCCGCGGGTACGGGGCCAATTCTTCGCGGATGCCCCGCGCGGAGACCAGCCCCGGCCACGTGCAGAGGGCCCCCCCCCCCTTGCGCCCTTGCGCGCGCCGCCGACGTCCATGCGCCCGCGTGTCCGCGGGATCGCGCCCCAGAGTCCAAACCGCGAGGGCGCGGGTGCTCGAGCAGTGGCGAGGCGTCCTGGCTTGTCTGTGGGCCCACCACAGAATGGTTTGAAGAACCTTTTGTGGTTTGCACGAATTGTTCTTAGAACACGTGTCTGGCGGACACTATCCTGTTTGTGTTACCAGAGCATTAAGAATATTACGTGGTAGTCCTATAGGAATGCTAGGACGGTCGGTCCCTGCTCAAGCTGCCCCCCCACCAGCGATGCTTTGCTGCTGGGGCGAGGATGGGAGCCCCGAGTCATCAAGGCTGGGGGCGGTCAGAGGTGACCGCAGATTCGCGCCTCGGGGGGCCAAACCAGAGTTACCCTTGACCGCAGCTCTCCCGGATCATTCGCGCTTCCAGCCCTCCCGAATCTCCAGGGCTGGGGGCAGTCAGGGGTAACTGCAGATTGGCGCCGCAGTAGGCCTGTAGGAATGCCCGGACGGCCTGTCCCTGCTCAAGATTCGGGTCGGGCGAAAGGGGGGGATTGGGAAAGGGGGGGTTACGAAATTTGCTGCGTGCAGCTGGTTTCGGCCTCACCGAGGGGCCACTTCCTCGATACATGGGCGCCGCCCGGCGCCTCCCGGCGCCGGGAAAATCAGCTCCGTGAGCTGATTCTCAAACCCCCCCTTTGCTATCCCCCCCTTTCGCCCGACCCGAAAGATGCGGACGCGGATGTGTCCGCCGCCCTCGGCCCCGCAGGCGGGGACGCCGCCGGGCCTCCCGCGGCGGCCGTGCGGGGGCGTCTGGTCCGCGGAGGTCGCAGCCGCGGCGCCGCGGGGCGGCCGCGCGCGGCCGCGCGCCGGGGCCGCGCTGGCGGCGGGCCGCTGCGAGAGGCGGGGGCGTCCCGGGGGTCAAGCACTGGCGAATCGTCCTGACTCTTGGCGTCGCTCGGGCGTGTGCATGTATTTATTGTCGGCGAGGACCATCGAGGAGCATCTTGCCTCCTCGCGCAACAAAAAAGGAACACACGCACGAAGCCGAGAAATCCACGGGGACTGGACGTCCGAGCGATGGCAAGGACTGGCCTGCACGCCCACCGAACGATGTTCTGAGAGCCTCCTCTGTGGTCTGCACCACGAGGTGCTCTCGACACATCTCTGGCGGAGGCAGCCCTGAGTTCGCGCAAAGGCTTACTGTTTTTTAGAAATCCTTTTGTTTTTCATTTGAAAACCATTTGGTTTTGGGAACACGTCGTGGTAGGCCTGTAGGAATGCCGCGGCGGTCGGCCCTTGCGCTAAGAGGGTGAGGGTTTCGCCAGGCCGCCGCCCTCGCGCTAAACACGGCGTCGCGGTTGGAGGAAAGCGATCTGTGGCTACAATCGTAGGATGGTTTCGTACTTCCTCTCGGGGGTTGCTGAAGGTGTCCCTGGCCCAAGGTGCCCCCAGCTTTTCGCTGAATTTTGGAGTGCCTGGGGCCCTCTGAGCCTTGTGAGGGGTGCTCTGGAGGCCGTGGGGGCCTCCGTGGAAATCCTGGGGGAACCTTACGCCGGGGGCACTTCTAGCAACACCCGAACTTCATGCAAGCAGAAGCATGTGTTCCCTCGACTCACTGAACGGGCGGCGCTCTGGCGCTCACTCCCAGCGCCGCGCGCGGCCCCCGTCACGGGCGAACTGGGAATCGCCCAGCCTCGCTTTGCCCCCTTCGCGCACCCCCCACTGTGCGGGCCGTGAGGAGAAGAGGGCGAGCAAGTATGGGGGGGTTGGAGTGAGTAGGGGGTGTGACGGAAGATGGAGGCGCGGATCGGAGGACGGAGGGACGGGTGGAAGTACGAAGGAGAGGATTTGGGAGGAGGAGGAGGAGCAAGAGGAGGAGGAGGAGGAGGAGGAGGAGGAGGAAAAGAAGGAGGAGGTTGAGGAGGACAAGGAGGATGAGGCGGAGGAGAAGAAGGAGGCGGAGGAGGAGGAGGCGGAGGCGGAGGACGAGAAGGAGGAGGAGGAGGAGGAAGAGGAAGAGGAAGATGAAGAGGAGTTATAATAAGAAGAACAACAAGGAGAGAGGAAAGAGGAGGAGGAGGAGGAGGAGGAGGAGGAGGAGGAGGAGGAGGAAGGGGAGGAAGAGGAGGCGGAATGGGAGGAGGAGGGGGGGGAGAAGAAGGAGGACGGGGAGGAGGAGGATGATGATGAGGAGGAGGAGGAGTTGGAGGAGGAGGAGGAGGCGGAGGACCAGTGTAAGCCCAATAATCACCAATGATGTTGGAATAGATCCTCACCCCAAGCTCCCTCTTCATAGGCCCCTCGAACGGTTCACCTCCATTGGGGGACATGCCTCGTTGGAAGAGAACCGTTTGAAGACCCTGAAGCAAGCCACAACATTATGTCCAGTATGCAAACACCACGGATGAACCTGACTGCTGCGTCTTGACGATCTTGAATCGTACCAGAACGCCATTCCAGGGACCTCAACTCTGCGAGTCATCGTATGTGCTGCGCCCTAAAAAATTGTGAACCCTTCCAAAACAAAGTTTCTGGTACGTCGATCATGCGAATCCGCGAAACTCTTGCCATTCTGTATCAAGAATGCGCGCGGCGCTCAGGCGAGAACCACAGTTTGAAAAGGAACCGCCTTCCATCAGCTAGACTCTTGCATTGTTGTATAAAGAATGCGCGCGGCGCTCAGGCGAGAGCCACATTTCGAAAAGGAACCGCCCTCAATCCGTGAAGCTCTTGCAATTGTTTAAAGCGAGTGTGCGCGGCGCTCAGGCGAGAGCCACATTTTGAAAACGACCCGCCTTCAACCCGTGGAACTCTTGCAAATGTTTGAGACGAATGTGCGCGGCGCTAAAGCGAGAGCCACATTTTGAGAACACCCGACTTCAATCAAATTCTTGTAAATGTTCAACTCGAATGTGCGCGGCGCTAAGGCGAGCGCCACATTTTCAAAACCACCCGCCCTCAATCCGCGAAAGTTCGATACATGTTTAGCCCGAGTGTGCGCGGCGCCCAGGCGAAAGCCACATTTTGAAAACGACCCGCCCTCAATCCGTGAAGCTCTGGCAATTTTTGAGAACGAATTTGCGCGGCGCTAAGGCGAGAACCACAGTTTGAAAACCACCCGCCCTCCATCTGTGAAACTGGTGCCAATGTTTGAGCTTCAGGGTCATAAATGGTGAGGAAGTCTCAGGCGAAACGCCCGGCCCGCCCAAAAACTGGCCTCGGGGTGCGACAGGGAGTATTTATTCATTAGGAGAAGGAGTTTGGAGGAGGGGAAGGAGGAGGAGGAGGAGAGGGTTTGGCCCCGTGAGGGCCGCCTTTTTTTTACATTTTGCCCGCGGACAGCCCCAGCGGCTATCAGCCGCGAGTCAGCCACGCCGTTCAGGGATAAAGAACTTCCCTGGCCCAGACTCAAGCGAGTTCAGCGTCGAGCAGTTCGGTATTTGAAGATATTTCCGCGCGCTGGATCGGCTCCTGACGCATCACGGTTCATAGATGCAGGGGCAGAGATGGACCTGCTAGTGCGGAATAAGCGGCATACCTTGGTCGTCGTTGTGGTGGCGCTGTTGTCTTGCATGGTTCCAACACGCGGCAAGGGCACGTTCGAGAGCACCTTCCAGGCCCAGGACCCCCGGACGCAAACAAACATCAACGGAATGGGTTCAAAGCGCAACAAGATGTTCGAGAGAACGGAGGTCGTCCGCACCAGACAGAATGATCATTTGTTTCAGGAGCTCGAGGCAGAGGGGAAGCCCAGGCAAATGAAGGAATACATCGATCAACTGGACGAGCTCAGAGAAGAGCAATACGATTGCGAAGTGGACGAGGACATGAGCGAAGCTTGGCAGGCAGCGGATCGTAGAAAAACTCTTCGGAACAAAGAAGTGAGAAGCGCATCGGCGCTATCAGGAACCACGGCGGTGAACAGCGGAAGGAACCACAATACCAAGATCAAACAACAACCGGGATTTGTGCGCAGAACGATCGCCATGCACGAGCGTCAAGCTTCCGTGGAGCAGCACCTGGCTCTGATAATTCAGGTACATATGGCTCATATGCAGCATCTGCAACATATGTACGTCATGACATGGGCCCAGGGAGTACCTCAGCTGGGAGCTCGGGGACCTCAGCAGCTGGGAGCACAGGGGGTACATCAGCATGGGCCTCCGGAGACACAGGGGCACATCAGCAGGGGCCGCGGAAAGTGTAGGCATCGCATCAACACGTCCTGCAGCGGACACTGGGCGAGGCAGTTCAGGGAATTCGACAGCAGGGCGTACCTCAATAGGGAGTCTAGGGAACACTTCACAATATGCAGAGAGCGCCTCAGCAGGGCGCCCCACCGCAGGCAGCCCAGGGACTCCAGGGACTGCCTCTGCAGGCTGTCCAGGGTGCACCACTGCGCCTTGCGTGGCCTCCGCCAAGCTCCCGCCCCCCTGCCGGCGTGGAGTTGCGCTGCAGGGTGGCCACCTGGATATGGGATTGACACGGGGAAGGGCAGGGACAGGTGCGAAGGCAGGAGCAGCATGGAGTGGATGGACCAGGTCAAAGGCAAGGGCAAGATAGGGCTCCCTCATGCCCAGAACTCGCAACAGGAGAGTCCGAGAGCGATGGCGGGGCTGGAACAGCTCCTCTGCCATCAGTCTCAGGAAAAAACGGGCACCGACGCGCCTTTGGACCCGCACTTGAGTTTCCCGACCCCCCCCCAAACCTCGACTTGCAGTCAGTTTTCAGGTCCCAGCGGTAGATTGCCATCGCCTGCGCAGCCCATGGGTCAGAGGAGCTCGGTGGTCGCGGCAGGGCCCCTGGTATCAGTGACGGCCGGCATGTGTTCAGCGCGGACTTGCCCGACTCATGGGTTAGCTCGTGTCCGATCATTCAGGGACTACACGAGGACTTGGCCAAGGACGCGCCCGTGCCTCAGAGCTCTCACCGAGGCGCTCCCTCGACGCCGGCGGCAGAGAAGCACTTCGAGACGGACGAACACATCTAGCTCCAAGGCCCGGCAAGGCAAACCGGGGGCCGGCGCGTCGAATCAGTTTGCGCGGCCAGAAGCGGCGACGAAACATCGGAAAATTGCGCTCGACAAAGATTTCGGCAGTCGATGTAGCCAAGCGGACCACATGCTTGCGATAGCTGACTTCGAGCGGACCCAGAGTTGCCGCGCCCGCGGGGCGGTCGACGCTAGGACGGGCAGGAGAAATATTATTTGCCCCAGCTGCGTTTCGGATTTTTGCCGAGGGCAGAAATCAAGCCCCGCCCCCGCGGCGGGGCGCGGGGCTCAACGACCGCCTCGAAGCCGCGGCCGGGCATCTCAGGGACAAAACAGCCGAGCATTCTGCCGCGGGTAGTTCCGGCCGCGCCAGCCCTTGATGACGACCCCGCTCGCCGTTTGCGTCGGCAGAGAAAGGGGGGGCCCTGCGAGCTCGAAGGCGGAAGGGGGGGCCGCCCCATCGCAGCGTCGAGCCCGTGAGGCGCTCGCTCGTGGAATCGCCTCGGGGCGCCTCCACGACATCGCCGCCCGGCGCCGAGGAGCCAACTCAGGGGGCGCCGCCAGGGAAGCTCACAGGCGGGCCAGGTTCATCATTCAAGAGAAGTCGTTTTCCCCCATGCATTCCGCGATTCGCTCGGCGCTTTTGCGAGCGGCGGGGGGGGGGGGCTTGAATGAGGTGCTTCGGGCAAGAGCGCGCGCGCTTCCATGGGGCCGCGGGTTCGCCCGATGGAGATGCGAGCGCAGACGCCGAGGCGCGTGCCAAGCAGCGGCAGCACTTAGAAACCGCCGTTGCGACTCGGAGCTCGCGCGGCCAAGGGGCCCGCGACCTTCCCGCGCATGGGTCATGACCAGGGGGGGGGGGGGGGGGGGGGGGCGCGCGCGTCAGACGTTGGTTCAGCACTCGCAGGACCAGCTCTGCCGAGTGGCGTCAGGGGGCCAGGTTGAGGCTAGGGGGATCATCGAATCTAACAACAAGCGCCCCTGCTCGCCGGGCGAAAAAGCGCCCGGGGACTCGCGGGCGCCCCCGTCAATCCGCGACTTCGAGAAAGCGCTCGCAAGAGTTGCCCCGCGGAGAGGGGCAGGCCCTGAAGGAGTTCACGGCGACTTGGGGAGATTTGGGCCCGGAGCGGCGCCCAGGCACCTCGGCCCCCACGCTTTTTCTCGCGGCCCCCGCGGGCCCCGAACCCTTGGGATATAACGGCGCTGGAGTCAGATATTTCTACAGAGGCAGTGGCGACGCCTCGTCCAAGGAGGCTCGAGGAAGCACCCTCACTGGGGGCGCCATTGCGACGCGTCGCCACAGGTGGACCAAGCAGTTGTCGAGCGATTTTCTCACGGGGGCCGCGATGCCCACTCAGGTTGGAGGGGCCCGGGAAAGGGCGGACGCGGCTGCGCGTCGCGTGGGATCTTGCGCTGAGGCCAAGCAGGCGCCGGGCGCTCCCGCCGCTGTTTCGCGCATCGACCTCGCCGGCGCCTTCGACCGCGCCGCCCCCCAGTTTGCTATCCAGCTGCCCGCCAGCGCAGAGCGCGTGGAGTTCCCTGATTTGCTGCGCCCGGGGGCGGGCGCAGCCGGCCGCCGCCCCGGTCTTCGAGAGGCCCCCCCCCCCCCCCCCCCTTCTGAGCGCATGGCGGCGCTCGTCGGGGAAGCGCATATTGGGGGCGTCTAGGAGCCAAGAAATTACACCTGAGAAAACTCCAATGAGTGGATGATTTGAAAAATAGTCGCATGGATCTTGAGATCGGTTGTGAGATCGATAATGAGATCGATAGTGGGATCGTTTGAGGACGATTGTATGGTCGATCGCGAGACCGAGAGTGAAATCGATTCAATGAGATCGACAGGGAGATCGATCGCGAGATCGCTCGCGCGATCTAGTGAGATGGCTTGCGAGATCGCTTGCGAGATCGACTGTGAGATCGATTGTGAGATCGATGGTGATTGAGATCGATAGAGAGGTGGGAAATGAAATCGGTGCTGAGACCGATCGATAAGAAAAAATAGACCAGGAACCCGGGAACCTGGGAACCCCACCGCCCGCCGAAATCGGCCGGGAAAGGGGGGCCTGGGAGCCTGGAGCCGGGGGCCCAGGAACCCAGCGCGCGACCTAAATCGGCGGGAAATTTTTGCCAAATCTTTCAACCTCCACAAGGGCCCCTTCAGTGCAAGCATTGATTGGGGAACACTTAGCTCATCGTCGACCCCGGGGCCCAGGCTCGCCGTGGATCCGCCGCGTCCGCGGACGCCCATGACGCGGATTTCAATTCGACCCAGCGGATGGTCGAGGATTGTCGCGGGAGAAAAACGCGCGCTGGGGACCCGGCCCGGGCGGGGGGCGCCTCTCTCGGGGGAGCGACGGTGGAGCACCTTTTGGCCATCTCGTTTGTCGACGATCTCACTGCGATGATGCGCAACGGCGACGCCAGTTTCAGGTCGGCAGCGGTGGTCGACGCAATCTCCGAGGCCACTGCGCGTCGCGGACTGCGCGTGGCCATGATATAGACGCGGCGTCTCGCGGCGATTCGACGTGGACTCTCGCGGGAGACGCCCGCGAGAACGCGGGGCTACTTGCGCGAAGTGGGGCGGGGGATTGAGCGGTGTTGCCAGCGGCGGAAGGGTGAGTTGCTCATAATTGCCCGCTGAGAACTTGTCCTCAGCTGGTCTCGCATAAGTGAAGCTTCAAGGCCGGCATTGCTCAGCCCTGCAGACGCTTGGGCTCCTTCGATGATGTCAGCGGGAGCCGCGCGCGTGAAGATGGCGATCGTTGCCCCTTTGCTCGCGCGGCATCCGCGCGATCCCTTTTCTCTGCTGCCCCTCGGGAGCTGCCCCCCATATCTTACCCTGCGTTGCCGCCGAGCCTGTCCTTCCTGCAGCCGCGCGGCGTCGCTCGAACGCCTTGCTGGCCTCGCGCGCGAGAGCCTCGAGCGCGAGCGCGCGTGGCCCCCCTGGCTCTTCCAAGAGGGAACGACAGTGAGCGGCATAACGCCTACGCGGGGGGATGTCAGCGCGAGCTGGCAGGCTGCCGCGGGGCATGGCCACTCGCGCGGCGAGGCCCAGGCGCGGCCCCGAAGCTTTGCGCGGAGGGCCTGGCCCGCGACGACTCCGAGCGGCTAGTCAGACTGTGCATCTCCGGGGAGGACAGAAATCATTAGCTCGAGATGGCCGAAGAGGAGCCGAACAAGCATCGAGCTGGGTTGCAAGGAGCGCACAGCTGCTCCATCATGCAGGTGCACGACGCAGCTGACTGGATAAGCTGGGCGGGCAGGCAGCAGCAAAGCACGGGGGGGGGTCGCCCTGGGGCGCGAACTAGAGGTAGGTTTGAAGGGCCCAGCTGGCCGTCTCAATTCGCCCGGACCCCCCATCTGCCCAGCCCCCTTCGGCGTGCTACGAGCGCGGGTGCCTAGCTCCATCGGCGCGCGCGCTCACCGCCCGCGGAGTGACATTCCATCCCGCGAGCGATGTTCCCACGGGCGTTGCTGTCGGCGGCATTTGACAAGCGCGCGTGAAGGAGCGTTGAGAGGGGGGCTTGTCTCAGCAAGCATCTGCGCAGATCCAAGCGCCGCCTGTCGGCCAACCGGACTTTTAGCATCCGGGCGCCCGCGGGGGGGATGGGATTTGCCGGGGGAGACGTCGAGAAAGACTTGCCGAGGAACGGGCAGGGAGGCGCGGGGCTTTCGCTAGACGCACGTCGGCGAAGATGCGCGCCCCCCCCCCTCCCCCATCGCCCCTCTCGCGCGCGGCGGCGAAGCGCCCCTGCGCGCAGCGTGCCCGCGCCGCGCGGCGCGCCGGGCAAGAGGCCGCGGGCGCGCTCGCGAGCGCGCGTTCGGAGCGACCCCCTTAGCAGAGGATCGCGCGCTTGGTGCGCCTTCTTTCTGAGCTGGGCGCGAAGATGGCATGCGGGTGTGTTTCGAGAAGAGAACGGGCGACTTTCTCATGCGAGTTTGGATTCTCCGCGCGGACATTGCCAATCACTGCGCGAACGGAGATCTCATGCGACAGGGGGCGGTGGCTCTTTGGATTTTAGGCGGGGACATGCGTTGGGAGTGGTCATGGAACCACCTTGCCCAACCTGGAGTGCTGCGCGCCACTTCCAGCTCAAAGACAGCGATTGGACTCGCCGCCCCCCGCGCCCCCTGCTCCATCCTTCGCCCATGGCGGCCCCCCCGCATCTCTGCGGCGGAATTGCAGCAGGTCAGGCTGGGGAGTCGTCTCCTGCGCACTGTCATCCAATTTATTCACGCGTGCTGGCTGAGCGGCGTGCCAGCCATCATGGATCATCTTGCCATTAGTTCGTCGGCCCCACATGCTCTCCAGCAGCTGGAGACTGCCCCGCATCCGCGCGTTGATTGAGCAGCGAGTCGCGTTTTCGAGGATTGATCGGTGCTCTTTCCGTTCTCAGGCTGTCAAACCCATCGGGATCTTTGGGGCGCGTTGCTTCTCCTCGCAGCACGGCGCTGCGCTTGTCTCGGGGGGGGGGGGGCGCCGGGTTGCGTGCGCGCGGAACTCTTGGGGGGGGTGGAGGATGGAGGGTGGTTCATTGCCCTTCCGCCGCTCTGCAGGTCATTGGCTCGCACCATTGCACAGGAGGCTCCTGCATCTTACTTGCAGAACCTGGGATTGGGGCCTGGAATACATTGGGCTGGAGTTGAAGCATGTGTATCCCCCCTCGAAGCCTCTTCTTAGCGTGTCATGCACAAGGATCGTATGCTGCTTAATTGTAAAGTTGGGCACGGGGCCACTTGTCGGTGGGAGCGGGTCCTGGGGCCCTTGTTCAGCACGGGCCCCTCCCATGCCTCTCCCCCATGCGTTCCTTGCCTCTCCCCCTTTCCTCTCGCGAGTGCGGCGCGCGAGCCGTTTCAAGAAGGAACTGGGGGAGGCTGCGCCCTGGTCCTTACTTCATGAACCCTTGCGGGGCGAGCGAGCGAACGGGGCGGAGGGGGATTTTTCCACTCAAGCAATCGTCCCGGCAACGCAGGATTAATCAATCTTCTGATGGCCGGATCACAACATGGAGGAGCGGGGGGCGGGGCGGGCGGGGGGGGGATGGGGGGGGAAGGAGGGGGAGGGCGAGGGGGAGAGGGAGGGGGAGGGGGAGGGACAGGTGGAAGGGGAGGACGGAGGAGCGAATAACCGAGGAAACGCCGATGTGGCTTCGGGCGCGCGTGCAAATTCGGCACTGCTGGCTTCATACTTCTCCTCGATTCGGTCGATCCGTGGATTTGGGGCCCACGCGCCAGATGCACAGATCCACCATTCGCGTTTCGCCGAACGAAAGAGGGCTAGGGTGGGAGAGGAGGAGGATCGGGCGGATTGGCTTGTGCGCGGCAACGCACCTCTTGGGCGCGCCCGCTGAGCGCGACCACGCGTTTTTCGGGCCCAATGCGGGGCGGCTGGCAGCGCGCGGGCGCGCGCGGTGCCTTTCGGCTGCGGCGCGGCGCGCGCGGGGCACGTGGGCGGCGGCGGCGCCGGCTGGGGAGCTCTTCGTGAACTTCTGGCCAGGGCGGGGGTTGTGCGTCGTGAAGGCTCGAGCGGGGGGCAACGGGGGGCGGACGCGGTCGGGACCATTTGGCTGGAGTGTGTTGCCGCGTGTTCTGGCCCGCCGTGCCTCGGCGTGGCACGCGAGCCGGTAGCGTCGTCCCGGTCCCCGAGCATCAGCGCCCTGAGCCCCCGGCCCCGCGAAGCGGAGCGACGCGCGATGCAGTTTTGCAGGGCAGTGCGTGCCGTTGGGGCCGCCGCCGAGGCAAGTGGTGCCCAAACTCCCCACCGAATCTCGGGGGCGGGCGCTGCGCTGGTTCGCCAGGGGGGCCTCGTCGAAAACTGGGGTCGACCGCAGCCCCTAGACTCTGTCATACCTACGCGTAAGGGCGGCCCTTCGCCGCAGTGGCCTTTGGGTGCGCGGCGTTCGGGGTGGGGGCGGGGGGGCCCAAACCCCAGCTGTCAGGCCGCCAGTGTCGCATCGCACGTCGCCAGCGGCAAGCCGCGCACCAAAGGTCATTCACTTTTTGCCTAGGCCATCCTCGCGCGGTGGCGGCGCGGAGGCGCGAGGGGTGGACGGCCCAGGGGCGGGCGCGTCACGCATTCTTGCGGGGAGCTTCGTCGAAGGCGGGGGCTGTCGGGGGCCCGGGGACTCCCGGACGCATGTGCGGTAGTTTCGTGTCGTGCCGACACGGCGGCGACCCCGCCGCTGGCGTTCTGGGCTGGACGCCGCCAGCTGCCCAGAACCAGCCAGGAAGGAGCGATCTGGCAAGCGGAAAAGCGCCGGTCGTTCCGGGTTGGATGATCCACGGGGTTTCGAAAATCAGCGCGTGGGGCGTCATGGCACGAGGCTGCCACAGCGCCCCCTCTCTGGAGATCCGAGGCTGAACCATTGTGAAAGATCATGCTGACCAAGTTTTACTGCGCCATGTGTCGAGCCAGATCGAACTGTGAGGGTCTTGGGGATCGAGATTGGGCAGACAGAGATCGGCTCGAACAAAAAAAGTACGTCAGGATGTTAAAGGAAACCCAGGGCCCCTCCTGAGCACCAATTCTACCTCACTGTAGCACCTCTTGACCAGATATGCGAGGTCTTGGTTCCGTTGTTCCATGCGAGGACCCTGGAAGTGCCGACCCCTGGGCGGCGTCTCATCGCGAGCCGTTGTTTGACGGCCCCCCTGGGCCCAGCGAGGGCCCCCCGGAGGCGGAAAGTGACCGAAAACGGCACACGGCAGGCTCGACTCAAAATATGCGCCAGGATCTCGGGGGCCCTTTTCGTTTTAATTATGACGTTCCAACCTGCTTCAGACTTGATCACTAGAAATAATTCCGAGCACCAAGAAGATACCGAGACTGGAGGGTTTTCTCCTGTCGGGCCTTGGGAGGCGATACTCGTTCGACACTGTCTCGACACTTTTCTGAGTGCTCGAAATTATTTATGGGATGTGGTCCTAAGTACAATGGGAGCAACAAATCCTTCACTCCTCTATCAGGCCACGGGTCAGTGCATGAGTTTTTGCCTCTCGCTGGTCGGCTCGTGTGGTGTCCTGGTCTGCCTGGCGACCTCCCGAGTCGCACAGCGGTCGACCGAGCCTGGAAGCCCTGTGGTGGCGCTCGTTCTTCCGCCTCCCCCAAAAAAATAACCAAAAGCTGGCTACTACAATGGCTGTGGTTTGCGATCGGTACCGTTGGGGCTTAGTTCGAGTTTTTGTCCTTCCAGGAGTAACTCTCGTCACCCTGGCCGAGCCTCCCACCCCCCACAGATAACGCTAATGCGCTAATGACCGCCTTGGGAGGGGTGGCCTGGACCCCCTTACATGCTGTGGTGCGCACAGGCGATTCATGCGCCGTTGGCGCGGACGCACCCCAGCGGGTGCACGCCGCGGCCGCCGTGACCGCTACCCTGCCGGCCCACCCAACCCCTGGGTAACGACGGCTACCTGGGAAAGCAAAGAGACGTCACTTGGGGGGTCGCCACGCTGCGCCAAAGTTTTGACGAGCCCTCGGCGGGGCGCGACAGAGATCTCTGTCGAGGTCCTCGCCCGCCCCCCGTTGGCGCGGGTTACAAACCACACCCCTTGCAAGCCACATCCTTCGCTTGGGATCGCTCGGACGCGTGTCCTCTCTTCTCGGCGAGGACCATCGAGGAGCGCCTTGGATCATCTTGCGCCCAATACACGCACGAAGCCGAAAGATGCACGGGAATGGACGTCCGTGCGATGGCGAGTTCGGAGTCGCCAGACAAGGGTCTCAGGGACCCCTGGGGCTGTCCAACCCTGCCAGGGTCCATTTTGATCCGATCGCTCCGCTTCGACATCGGCTCCAGCTGGTCCGATTCGCTTCGACTCCGATCTTTCCCGGCGATGTCCGATGGCGCCCGGTGCTTGGCGCACGGCGTTGCCAATCTCCGATCCAATTTCGAGGCAGTGCCGATGCCGGAGGGAGGAGAAGCGACACCAATACCGCCAGGGGGCCACCTTCAGCGAGGGGGTCCACGATGCCTCCTCGAGCTGGAGGCTGGGGATTTCTCGAGCGAGAGGGGGGGACCACACCACCAGGGAGGCCCCCGTTGCTTCTCGCACCTCCTCGCCCTGGTGGTGCCAGAGTCGCCTGTCCTTGTTCCTACAGTCGAGGTTGATTAGTAGGTGGACCCTGCCAAACCGAGGGTACCCTTATGTCCCGTGCTCTGCGAGCCATGCCTTCACCTTCCTGTTGCAGCGTGGCCTTCGGCAGGGTCTGGTGTCCTCTCGCGCGTCCTCTCCAATCAGCCCCGACTGTACGATGCGGCCTGGTTCGCTGCACGCTCCGACCCGAGCCGATCTCCCGCTTCGACATGTTGACTGCTCCCGCCTTGCCGCTCGGCCGCTGGGCGCGAGGCGCGCGCGGGGCCGCGGCCGCTCGCGCGGCCCCGCCCGGGCGTGCACGCCTGCGTCGCGGTGCCGGCCTCGCGGCGGGGGCGGCTCGTCGCCGCGCAGCGGGCCGTGCCCCCGGGGGCGTCGCAGGGGGTCTCAGGAGGAACAGGTGCACGCCGGTCGTTGAGAGCGGTGATACTTCGCAGAGGTGGACAGGTATACCCATACCGTTACCTCTCGTTTTCTCCTTATTGGGCCTCCTGGAAGGTCCTGGTCGCCACGGCTGGATTCGCCTCAGAATCCTGGCCAGAACGCACCCTGGGAGGTGTCCAGGGAGTAGCGGTATGGGTACCTTTTGGTTTCCACATGGGGGGTCATCGAGGACTCGTCATCTTCCTCCTCCTTCCCCTCCTCCTCCTCCTCCTCTTCCTCCTCCTCCTCTTCCTCCTCCTCCTCCTCCTCGTCTCCTCCTCCTCCTCCTCTCCTCCTCCTCCTCCTCCTCCCCCTCCTCCTCCTCATCCTCCTCCTCCTCCTCCTCCTCCCCCTCCTCCTCTTCCTCTCCTCCTCCTCCTCCTTCTCCTCCACCTCCTCCTCCTCCTCCTCTCTCCTGCTCCCCCTCCTCTCCTCTCTCCTCCTCTCCTCCTCCTTCTCCTCCTCCTCCTCCTCTCCTCCTCCTCCTCCTCCTCCTCCTCCTCCTCCTCCTCCTCCTCCTCCTCCTCCTCCTCCTCCTCCTCCTCCTCCCCTCCCCCTCCCCTCCTCCTCCTCCTCCTCCTCCCTCCTCCCTCTCCCCTCCTCCTCCTCTCTCCTCCTCCTCCTCCCCCTCCTCCTCTCTCTCTCCCTCCTCCTCCTCCTTCTCCTCCCTCCTCCTCCTCCTCCTCCCTCCTCCTCTCCTCCCTCCTCCTCCTCTCCTCCTCCTTCTCCTCCTCCTCCTCCTCCTCTTCCTCCTCCTCCTCCTCCTCCCTCCTCCTCCCTCTCCTCCTCCTCCCCTCCTCTCCTCCTCTCCTCCTCTCCTCCTTCTCCTCCTCCTCCTCCTCTTCCTCCTCCTCCTCCTCCTCCTCCTCCTCCTCCTCCTCCTTCTCCTCCTCCTCCTCCTCCTCCTCCTCCTCCTCCTCCTCCTCCTCCTCCTCCTCCTCCTCCCCCTGTCCTCCCTCTTCCTCCTCCTCCTCTCCTCCTCCTCCTCCTCCTCCTCCCTCCCCCTTCTCCTCCTCCACCCCTCCTCCTTCCCATCTTCTCCTCTTTCCCATCTTCTCCTCCTCCTTCTCCTCTCCTCCTCTCCTCCTCCTCTCCTCCTCCTCCTCCTCCTCCCCCTCCTCCTCCTCCTTCCTCTCCTCCTCCTCCTCCTCTCTCACATCCATCTCCTCCTCCTCCTCTTCCTCTTCCTCTCCCTCCTCCTCCTCCTCCTCCTCCTCCTCCTCCTCCTTCTCCTCCATTTCTATCATCTGAAATGTCGAAAGTATGGTTCGTGATTTCCTACACTTTGGTTCGGAACATCACTGTTAAGCAACATTGCCGTTAGCCCGACCTTGGCCGAGAGGGTGGATTGTTGTCCTAATTGTCCAACAGCCGTGAGCAGCAGCAACAGCAGCAGCAGCAGCAACAGCAGCAGCAGCAGTTCGCAGGCGATTGTCTCCCCCCCTATCCTCCGATTCTTCGACGGAAAACGAGGCCGTTCAGAAAGGAGGGTAACCTTGGGATACACCCCAAGGGGGCTATTCGGACACACCCCTATCGAGGATGGACTCCCACATATCGCATGTCCCAGGGTTGGGCCCCACTTTTTCGGTCCATTCGAGGACCCCACGACGCCTGGAATGGTGTTCTGCGTCTGCGTGGGAGGCTCAGGAAGTTTCTCGGAAGGCCGGGGGACTTCTAAGCCTTCCGAGAAGGCCCGCCCCTTCTCGCTTCTCCCCCAGGCTCGCCGCCGAGCTAACCTGCCCTCCTGCCCCCCCCCCTCCTCGGCGCCCCCGGACATCCCTGCGTGGTCTCGAAGCCGCGAGCTGGTCCGACTCGGCGCCTGGAGAGGCTACCAGTTCGTCGGCGCGGAGGGCGGGGCGGAGTGGGCCCTGCTGCGGGGGCTCCTGTCGCGTGAGGAGGCTCGCCTCGTCCTGTCGCGGATGCCGCCGCTCGACGCGTTCGAGGCTGGAGGAACAAAACACGGCATAGGAATCCTTCTTGTCGGATGGGCAGTTTTTTCTGGTTTTGTGGAAGTGTTGTGGAAGTCTTGAAGCTTGTGGAATCCTTCGAGGTTGGTTTTTGTGGAAGCCTTGCAGCTCACTGAAAGCAGGTTTGGACGATTGGCGCCCATTGGCGGCGATCCGGGGGTGATTGGTGGACGGCTGGCGCGGGGCGCGGGCCGCTTTTTGCCGCTAGTCATGTGCCGCTGTTTGCCGTTGGTCCGCCAACGTCTTGATTCAGATAGCCCTCCACACACGAGCGAGCGTAACTCGGAGTTCCCCGCGGATTCCTTCGATCGCCGCTGGGCTGGGCCCCCCCTGGCCTGGAGGCGTCTCCGGCGCCGCCCCTGGCGCGCTCCGCGCGCCAGGGAGGGGCTCCTGCGCCGATCCAGGAAAGAGACAATGTTTTCTATCCCCTGGCGGTAGCGGGCGGCCGGTCACGTCGCAATTCGCGCCGGCGCCGTCCGGGAATGCTCAGGAGATTGGTATTTCCTACACGGCGCCGGCGCGAGGGCGGGGGAGGGGGGAGGGCGGGGCTGGTCACGGGCGTTGTCACGAATCTTGCGAGTTCCGAAAGTTTCTGTTTGTGTATTTTGTTGCCCTTCTAGAGGCGAAGCCCGACTCGATTGACGGCGCCGCGACCCACGAGTTCTACGTCTACAAGGCAGCCAGGCTGCTGCACCGGCCGCTGGATGATGTCATGCGCCCCGCGATGGACAGGGCCATGTTGTTCGTGCGCGCGCGGTACGCGTGCGACACGTGTGTGGTCTTCGAAGAAATAATTGCGTACGGTCGGACCGAGGTACAAGATTGAGTTCAGTTCGGGGAGGGTACCCCGATGATCTTCGTGCTTGTTGAATGTTCTTGTGCATCCTGGGGGAAAGCACCCTCGAATGTTCTCCAGTCTGGCGGGTGGAGGGCCTCATGTTTTTGGAGGGCGTTCTTCTGTCCTAGGTCCAGCCGTAGCCATACCTCTCCTGACCCCCGCGCGGATCTCTGGGAATGGCGCTGGGCCCGTCTGACGCGCTCCGCGCGCCAGGGAGGGGTGTCCAGCAGATCCGAGAAACCCGCGCGGACCTCCACGAGTTGTTGTTTATGTTTTTGTTGTTGCTCCTCGAGGTCTGCTTCTCGCTCGTGCGCCGCTACCTGGAGGGCGAGAGGCGTGGGCTCCACGCTCACCAGGACATGCAGGCCTCCGTGTCGGTGGTGTTCACGCTGAATTCCGAGGACTACGAGGGCGGCCTCTTCCTCATGAGCAACTACAGCGCCGCCCAGAGCTACCTGCCGCTGCGAACGGGAGACGCCGTGGTCCACCAGGCCGACCTGCTGCACGGTGTCGCGGTGAGCCGCGGAAATCGCTGGAGCTGGAGCCTCTGGATTAAGCCAGAGGCAGAGTGCAACATGTTCGTCACGGTTAAGGGGCACTTCACGGCCGCCGACAGCGACGGCGACGGGAGGCTCAGCATCGCGGAGGCGGAGGAGTTTGCACGGAGGGCCAACCTCCAGCGGCCCAGCGCGGCGCCCGGGCGGGGCCGGGAGGTTGCCGCAGCTCTGTTGCGCGTTGCCGACATGGACGGCGACGGGCTTCTTGATGCCTACGAGGCTTTCACGGTGGTCTTCAAGTCCACGATGCCCAGCATGCCGCCAAGGGTGCGGTAGCTCTGAGCGGGCGGGCGGCGCTGGACGTGCGGAGGGAGTTTGCATGGGGCCCTGCTGAGCCTGGCGTTGGGACGTGTTCACGGTGGCCTTCGAGTCGACGCTGCCCAGCATGCCGCGGAAGGTGGGGTCCAGCTCTGAGTGGGCGGGCGGCGCTGGACGTGCGGAGAGAGTCTGCCTGGGGCCGTGTTGGGTGCGGCGTCGGGTTCACTGGGCTTCCACTGTAGCCTTCGAGTCGACGTTGCCAAGCACGCCGCCGAAGGTACGACATAGCTTGAGTGGGCGGCGGCGCTGGACGTGCGGAGAGCGCCTACCTTGGGCCCTGTTGAGCGCGGCGTCGGGTTCAATGGGCTTTCAAGGCAGTCCTCGAGTCGACGCTGCCCAGCACGCCGCCGAAGGTACGATCTAGTTCTGAGTTGGCGGGCGGCGCTGGACTTGCAGAGAGAGCCTGCCTGGGATCATACCAAGTGCTACGTTTGGCTTACCTGGCTTCCACAGTGGTGTTCGAGTCGACGCTGCCCAACTCTTCGCCAAAGGTGGGAAATAGTTCTGAGTGGGCGGGCGGCACTCGACGTGCGAAGAGAGCCTGCCTGGGGCCGTGCTGAGCGCTGCGTTGTGCTTACTGGGCTTCCACGTTGACGTTCCAGTCGACGGTGCGCGGCACTGCCGCCGAAGGTACGATATAGTACGTGCGGAGACAGCCTGCCTGGGGCCGTGCTGCGCGCTGCATCGGGTTTACCGAGCTTCCACAGTACGCTGCCCAGCACGCCGCCGAGGATACGATACAGCTCTGAGTGGGCGGGCGGCGCTGGACGTGCGGCGAGAGGATGTAGCCATGTTGGGAGCAGCTTGGGGCCTACGAGACCTTCACTGCTGTCTTCAAGTCGACGCTGCCAAGCGTACTGCCGACCGTGGGAATGCTGTCAGCGGCGTGCGGCGCTGGACGTGCGGAGAGAGCCTGGGGACATGCTGAGCGCGGCTCGGTGCGAGTCACCAGGCACGAGTGCAGGGACGCCTGTGCGTGCAAGGTTAAGGTTGCCCAGCTGCTCGCACGGGAAGCCTGAGGATCTGAAGCACAGCGTGTCTCAAACTGCAGCAACACGTTCCTTGCTCCTTGCTGCCTTCTCCTCCCGGTTCTCTGGCAGAGCGCAAAAGTTGCGCGTGGGCGTGGGGGCGTGCGCGTGCACAGATGGGCGTGTCAAGGCCTGCTCGGGTGCGCACGCCCACTGACCGCACGACCGATTTGCCATCATGCGCGCGTGTACTTCATGCTTGTCGGTGATCCTCAGGACGAGTGTTAACCCAGAGTGTGTTTACCTCGTCCAGCTCCACTCACAGCACGAAGCTCGCGTTGGCCCTCCTTGCACCGCCCATGTCGTATGAAAGGGCTTCGGTGGACAAACGCACGTTGGTGCACACTCGGCGGGCCCTGGAAACGGCAGGGCAGTTTGTTCAACCGTTTTCAGAGGGCGGCATCCTGATAATGAAAGACCGAAGCTGTAAAGATAACGTTCACCGAAACGGCCTGCGCAGCCTTGGGGCCCGAATGACGTTCGGACCCCGTTCGGATCTGGAACAACAAATTGTGATCTGGACCAGTTCCACCAGGGGAAACGAACAATGTACAACGACGGCGCCAGAAACGTCAAGCAAATGCGCCAGAACAGTTGCAACAACCAGATTAATCCAAAACGATACGACAATTGTCCTGCCGTATCCTGGGCCGACCAAGCTACCACGTGTCATCAGGATCATCGAGCTTGTCCGTGCGAACACCTTTTGCGCCGGCGGCTAGGCAGGGGTCGTCCGCGCTGGCGGAGCAAGCTGGACTAAGCAGGGGCGCCGCGTTGCAGCGCATTAGCTGGCATGGAGAACGGGACAGAGCGGGCGGCCGCAGAGGGGAGGGGCAAGGCGAGGGAGGGGAGGGGGGGGGGGGCTGTCCGTGCGAGCACGCATCGCCGGAGCGCGCGCCAGGGCTGCGGGGGCTGTGCGCCAGGAGGGGCCCGGCCTCTCGGCAGTCTGTACGGGGGGTCAGAGCAGCGCACGCGTGCGTTCCTGCGCGGGCAGAGCCAAGCAAAGCCCGGCAGGTCAGCTGTCGTCAATCGCGCTTCGTTCGGGGAGACGAAAGAATCGAGTAAGCCGGAAGTCGGGTTTGCCGACGTTTTTCGACGAGCGCGCCATGGATTTTTACGGCCCAGTTTTCGTGGGATGTTTGCAGCGGGAGCTCGCGTCCAGTTTCAGATTGGGCCTCGTCATTTTGATGGTGGCCCCGTCGGGCCAACCCGAGTCCCCCGTAGCCGAGTCTTCCGCCTCCCCGATTCGTAGGCCCTGGGAACGCCAGGACAGCCTGTATTGGCGCTTCCGCTGCGCAGCTTGCCCGCCGAGTCCAGCGCCGTTTGTCTTCTGGTTCCGTCATTCTTCTTCTTGGTTCCAGTGCCAAATCCGAAGCAATTTTCTCCAAGGGCGCTTTCGAGGGCGCGAAGTCATCCGCGCTTCGCGCTTGGCGGTTTGGCTCCGATTCCTCCTCGTCCTCCTCTTCTCCCCTGGGAGGCGGCGCGAGAGCGTGAAGTTGTTCGCACTTCGCGCTTCGCGCAGCGCGAAGCGCGAAGTTGGGAGCCCTTGCTGCTCACCGTTTTCAGGAACGGATGCGTCTTACTGTTGCCATGCTGTATCTCCTGGAAGCTGCAAGACATTGGCCCTGCTGTTTCCAGCGCTCTCTGCCATCGCGTCTTCTGTATTGTCGAGATCGTTTGACAAGCCAGGAGTGTTCAAGCAGGCTGCGGAGCGTGATATCCAGAGGGAGGCGAGCTGAGATAACGGTTGACGGCCTTCGGGGGGGCCTCGTCACCACGGCTGAACTCCCATCCTGAAATTTCTGCGTGCCTTTGGACCTTGGATAGGGTCAGGAGCTCGTTTTTGAGCTGGGTCAGGAGGTCGTTTTTGAGCTGCCGTCTTCTCAACTCGCCCAGCTACGAGAGTGATCCAAGCTGGCTGCAGTAATTATATGGTATCAGGCCAAACCATGGCTTTGAAAGCTTGAGCGTTACCGTCGACGACGCTGTTTTTTGGTCTAGGCGGTGGTGCTTTGCATTTGCCAGCTCACGTGCGAGGCTGTGAGCGGCTGCTGTGTTGCAGGATGACAAGCATCTGGAGCCTCATAGGGGGGATCGCTTGCATGCGGCAGGACGTGGGGGATTGTGAATGATGTCGATGCATTCGGAGCGACACACCCGTAGCTCGCAGAATGGCCAGTCGAGACGACGGCGGCGTTCCTTAGCGTTTTTGGTTATTCCTGGGTCTCCTGGAGGCTTCTCGTCGCCACGGCTGGATCCGCCTCGAAAAGCGGATCAAGATGGACCCCTGGAGGGGTGTGGGGACAGATTTTGAACGATTTATGTTTGGCGGGGGAACAACATGGAAACGGTGGAAAATTGTTCACGGGGGGGTGAAACAGTCCCTGGATTGGAACCAAAGCTGGAACTGGAAACAAACGGCGACGGAACCGGGAAACATATTACACCAGACTTGGCAAACAGCAGCAACACGGAATCAGTAAATTATTACCTTGTCGCTTCGAGGGCCCACTAAGTTCCGAATAACTTGCTTTCGGAGCGAAAGCACCTTGGTAGGGTCCATCACGATCTGCGCCGACCGTCCTCGCGTTACCTCCAGGCAGTGTCCATTCGAAGGTGGGATGTGAAAGCGCTCGGACTCGGTGCTCAGTGAGTATGTGCTGGCGTCAGGCAAACGTATCCATGTCCACGCCCTCGCGGTCTGGATTCCGGGGCGCGATCCCGTGGACCCGCGGTCGCACGGATACGTTCCGCGCGGGGCATCCGCGAAAAACGCCCCGTGTCCACAAGGGCCGCGGGCCAGTGGCCTGGTCCACGAGGCCATGGATGCGGCTATGTGTTCCGCCTGCGACGACCCCTTAGTCATGTTCGAGTGTTCCGCAGGGATCAAGACTCACAGAGCGATGGGGAATTCGTCGCACGCCCACCGCTGCTGTCTCAGCAATGTAGTCTTGCTGCTACTGTGCGGGCGCCTTCGGCGACGACTGCGACGACGAAGACGACTACGACGAGCACTACTACTACAACGAGTACGACTACGGCGAGTGCGACTACGACAAGTACGACTACGATAAGACGACGGCATCGACGACCATCGACCATCTGAAAAGGATCTGACTTGATGGTGATAAGGGGTAGAAATGAGGGTACACGAGGGTGGCTATGCAGCAGCCTATCGGCCCGCAGTTTTTTTGCTGACATGATAGTTTCCTCGACCACATGCCTCGTGGTCAGGGTGGCGGGAGCAGATGGTGGGAGAGAATGCGCCAGTGCCAGTGGATGTTGGTCGGGAGAAGCACGTCCCGTGAAGGCGAGTGATTATCTTTGGATTGTATCAAAAGGAATGTTGAGAGTGTTATAGCGATGGTCTTGCAGGTCTGGGCTATGTGTGTCTTTGAAGACGGGTTCTTGGAGGAATATTCTCGTCAGGTTGTGTTTTGCAAACGTGCAACGCCCTCTTCGCGTGAGCGCCTGCACTTTCGGTTCACACCAAGTGACGCATTCGGAAGTGTCAGTCCGCGTTGTGGACGTGTTGTTTCCAAATTTGTCTTTGTTCGCGGGGGTGAGAGACCCGAAGTGGTCCATTGGTAATTCCTTTCGTCCTGTGCATGCGTACAGGCCAGACTTGGGTCGCTCTTTGTGCCATTACCTTTTTCATACATGAGCAAGCACCATCAGCACGCAAAGCGCACTGATTCAGCGGACATGTCAGAGTGAAGGGGCCGAACGGTCATTCACTGTTCCCGGGTGCGAGGCTGAAGTGGGATTTCGCGATGTTGATTATTATTGTTGTTGTTGGTGTTGTTGATGTTGATGTTGATGTTGTCGCTGTTTGTTGTTTGTGTGTTTGTTTGTTTGTTTGTTTGTTTGTTGTTGGTGCTGTTGCTGTTGTTGTTAGTGTTAGTGGTGGTGTTGTTGTTGGTGGTGTTGGTGTTCGGCGTCGTCCCCCCGCGACCCGGCCCGCGACCCACCCGCGACCCACCCCGCGACCCGCCCGCGACCCACCCGCGACCCACCCACGACCCACCCGCGACCTACCCTGCGACCCGCCCGCGACCCACCCTGTGACCCACCCGCGACCCACACGCGACCCGCGACCCACCCCGCGACCCCACCCCCATTGCTTTCACAAGAAATGGGCGCCTGCGGCTGGCTCATGGTATAATTTGTAAAATTAGGCGCTTGCGGCGGGCTTCTTCAGAGCCTCGCAGTTGCAGACGTCCCCGCAGCCCCCTCACTCTTATTCGCGACTGTCCAACAGGGCTTGTTATCAGTCGACGATTGGGTTTACGCGTATGCCCCCCAGCCAAGCCTGGAGGCCGCCGAAATGAGGCCGAAGTAGGCAAGACTGGTGGATCGCGCAGCATCACCGACGCATCAGCGATGCGTTTTGATGTGGAGCCCGACTGTCTCCGCGCCGACCTCGCCAATGCATCGGAATCGCCGATGCATCGGCGATGCGGCGCGATCCACCGACCCCATCTATTTCGATCCCAGTTGGGCGGCCTGGAGACGCAGCCCTTCTGCCCGGATCCGATCCTGTCGTCTATCTTCGACCTTGCCTCTTCCGAAGCTTCAGTTCTCCCCTGCCCTTGCCATTTCTGACGAGGTTACGTGTCCGCCCATGGCCCCTTGTCCAGTGCATCCACCCAGCTTTCGCGAGTATGACCGTCGAAGGTCGCCGAAGTTCGATGGGCGTGGAACGCGCACAGTCCAGGCTCCACCGCGAGAAACTTGTGACAAGAGACGGAGCCTATTTTGAGCCTCAGTCGTGCCCGGGTGCACCAGGACCACTGGGGGGACCCCCCGTGGAAGAACCCAAGGAATACCACGCTGTTGTCTTTTGTTTTTTTTGCCGCACTGGACTCCTTGAAGTCTGGACCCTTTCCACAGGGCCGACTTGTCATTCTGAGTCGGCTCTGGACGCTTTCTGAGCTTGCCGAGGGCCCCTGGAGTCAAAAAAAGCGAGAATATCATCGCTGGAGGCCTGGGTGAGGCCCTATATCCCCGCCCAGAGCCTTCCATGGTCACCCGACGGACTGGGCCCGACACTTTCGACGCCCCCCGTAGGTCTGCACTTCCCTCATGGCCTCGGTTCCCCGGTCGCCTGGCAGGTACTCTCAGGGGAGGAGGAGGTGCCCACACGGCCACCCCCTGGCCTCGCTCTCTCGCTGGACGGGCCTCCTGGGCGGCCCTCGTCGCCACCGCTGGATTTGCGGCGAAATTCTGGTCAGAGCGCACCCCACCAGAGGTCCGGGGACCAGTGGTATCCGTACGTGTTGGTGTTCGTGTGCGGACCCGATCCCGAAGTCTTGGCTGCAAGGGAGTGGGCAAGGTCCATTTCGATCCGACGTCGATGCTGGCCAGCTCTGTCCAAAGTGATTCCGACATGTTGGCCGTCCGATGCGGCCCAATGCTTACATGGCGCTGTTCCGTAGCCAGTTTGGCTCAACGCAGTTTGGCTCAAGGTGATCATATCTTGCCCAAAGCATCCTAATTGAACATCAACTGAACATATGTTCTTACAGTTCCCAGCCATTGTCGATTCAGCGATGGCGAACCAGCTGATCTTCGCGACGGCATCCGCGCTCGCTTCCATTGTGGACGCCGAGCTGCATCGCATCCATGTGTCCGTGCACGGGTCGGACGTCAGCCCGACAAGCATGCTCCGGATCTCGACAAAAACATTGCTGCTACGACATCCACAGGTTTGCACACGCTCTACGGGTCTTATACGCAGTCGACGGGAATAAACAGCGTTGGAGCTATTTCTTTCGAGAGCTCTTCAGGTGCAGCAGCATTCTCAATTGGAGCGGCCGGCGATACCTTCAGTATGTTGTTGTGAACGGGCATGCGGGCGCACAATCCGCACGGTCGGTCTTACCTAATTGATTCTAGACTTCATGGGCAAGGGGCATTGTATTTTGACAGCGACAACACCGTTCAATGTTACGGCATGTACGTGAATTGCCAGGGTGTTCGGGTTTGTTGGGAGAGATCGTTTGCTTATCCGCATGCGTTTAACACGTGGGTGCATTTTCGATCGTCTCAGACCCTACAGGCATGCGTCTGTTCAAGAACGATGAGTTGTTGCATGGGGCTCTCGCATCGAATTGTGGCACACCTTAGAACCCGCTTTGGTCGACGATGCAGTTCTCGGCACCTAATACAATTCAGTTGGCAGTTCAGGGAATCACTCTTTGGATGCTTCCATCGACGACCTCCAGTTTTACCGGTCGGCGTTATCAGCGCAATAGGTACACGACCTCTACGCTGCGACGCCTGCCCCGACTCCGACAAGCAGCCCGACCTTCAGTCCGACCTCGTCCCCGACGCCCAGCCCGACGTCTTCGCCGACAGAGGCCCCGACTAGCAGTCCGACAAGCAGCCCGACCTCCAGTCCGACCGCGTCCTCGATCTCGAGTCTGACCGCGTCCCCGACGTGCAGTCCGACGAGCAGCCCGACCTCCAGTTCGACTTCGTCCCCGACGCCTTCGCCGACTCAGGCGCCAACGCCGGCTCCAACGTCGGCGCGACTCCGCCGACGTCGGCGACGGCCACTGGCGATCCGCACCTGCAAAACATCCACGGTGAACGGTTCGACCTGATGCCGCCACGTAAGGTTATATTGGTCAACATCCCATGTGGTAAGCGCGTCGAGGACGCGCTGTTTGCGGTAGAAGCAGACGCGAGTCGCTTGGGTGGACGTTGTGTCGACACGTATTTCCAGGAAGTGAACATCACAAGGGTATGGGCGGACAAGCTGAAGGCTGGGAGTTTCACCTTCAACGCCAAAGGCGTTCAGAGCCACAAGGTGCTGAAATGGACGAATTTCGGGCCGCTGGAGGTCAAAGTCGTCCACGGTCGCACGGAGAAGGGGATACGTACAGTATTTGAACTTTTTTGTCAAACTCCTTGGGCATGCTGGCTTTGCCGTCGGAGGGCTACTGGGAGAAGATGATCACACGGATGCAGCGAGGGTTCCAGCAGAATGCCAGACCGCGATTTTCGTTGCGTAAGCCGAGCCATGCCAGCGTGCAAGCCGAGCTGGTCTCGGTCGCGATTGCCAGCTGAGTCGACCTCCCGTCCTCCGTCCTTTCCCCACCTCTTCTCCCTTCCGTCTCCTACGCCTAACCTCGTCCCCTTCGCTTGATCTTTACGCCTGCGCGGCCGCCCCTCCCTACCGATTTGTTCGATGCGCAGGCGGCTGAGGCGGAGGCCTTCCTCGAGGGCTCGGGCGGCCATTCGATCCCTGGGCCGTCTCTTTCCCGCAGCGCTGCCAGTTCCTGCGGCGCTCACTTCTGAGAAGCTCCGCCGCCTTCTGAGAAGGCCTTCTCCTTCTCACTTCCCACCTGCGCTCGCCACCTCTTCTCTGCCTCATCCTCGCTCCTCGTCTTCCCTTCAGGGGGAGCATGCGCGTACATGCCTGCTCTTGTTGCGCGTGCTATTTCCCTTCATTCCAGCAAGGAAAACCTAGGCTGTCATGTCTAGCCACCGCGCACGCCATACAAAACATGCTCACATGGCGCTGCTGCGCATCCTGGTGCGGCCGATCCGATCTGATTCCGACCCCGTGCCAATTCGGCCCGATCCGATGCACATTCAGATTCGATACGATTTCCCGATTCGATCTGATCGATCTTGGGTGGACCCAGCCATCTGGCAGCCTAATTTTTTCGAGACGGGTCCCCAGACCTCTCGACCCGTTCCCTGGAGCCGCTTTCCGATCCCCAGTCGCTTTTGACGGCCCCAGGGCCCAGCAAGAGCCCCTGAAAGCTAAAACAAGCAACAAGAATTCCCGCCGTTTTTTCGAGCTCTGCAAATCTGTGTCGATGTTGCCCGATGATCGGCGAGGGTGTCTAGGTCTCCCAGATGTGGTCCGAGTAGATGGGGCCAGAGGATCCCACCGCATCGCCGATGCATCGGCGATGCGGCTCGAGGTGGAGCCCGATTTTCTCCACGCCGATGGCGCCGACGCATCGCCGACATCGCCGATGCATCGGCGATGCGGCTCGATCCTCCGACCCCAGCTGCTCGGACTCCACTTGAGCGACGCGAAAAAACAGGGTCGTTTGCGCTAACATTGGCGCGCAAGCTGCCCGCTTAAGCTCGCGCGTAAGTGCCCCTGTCTCCAATGGAGCTTGCCGCGCTGGCGGCCCGCGCAAGCCGCAGCGTGAGGTCGCTACGCCATCTCGCGTAAGGGCCCCGTTTTTGATCGTCGCCCACATGGGAGGCCTCTGGTCTGCTGATCACGGCCAATCCTTGGAGAGGGTGGGACCCCGCAGGGCGCAAGTCCGGCAGATGCCACCAGCTCGCGCTGCCAGCGGCGGTCGGCCTCGTGTGCTGCGTGGCGCTTGCCCCGCCCTGAGCCGCGCCTCCCTGCCGAGCGAGACAGAGAGGCATAAACATGGGAATTGCTGGAGCTCCGCACGGACTTCTTGGATCGGCGCCGACCCCCCCTCCACTCGGTGGTCCTCAGGACGTGTGTTAACCGAATGTGCGTTAACCTCGTCCAGCCCCGCTGGTACAGACCACGGAGAAAAATAGCGAACGCGCATGCCGCATTCATCGGTCAACGCCTCCCCCTCCCCCAATGTTCAAAGTTGGCGGTGGGTCTGATGAGTTGCACTTCGACCGCAATCTCCCCCGCGCGTGCCAACTTTGAGTTTGGCGGAGCGGGGGAGTGTCCACGAATTGTTTCCCCCTACCATAGCACGCAGCCCGTATCGGCCCTCATCGCACCACCTGCGTCGTATTGAAGGGCTGCCTTCGACAACACACGCGTTGGCACTAACACACGTTCTGAGGATCATCGGTCGAAGGGCAAGAGGAGGCATACACGTTCTGATGATCATCGCTGAGGTCCGCGCGGATCTCTTGGATCGTCGCTGGGGCCCCCTGGCGGTGCCTCTGGCTTCGTCCCTGGCGCGCTCCGCGCGCCAGGGAGGGAGATCAAGCACCGATCCAACAAATCCGCGCGGACCTCAGAGAAATTAAACACACACACACACGCATATGCACATATATATATATATATATATATATAGATGTACATGTATATACCGCCCCCCCCCGGCCCCGGGTCCCACACCTTCCTGGAACATCTCGGGAACACTTCTGGTACCATTCCCCCAGCCTTTCCGGGGAGCTTCCACAGCGCTCCAGGAGGGCCCAAGACGCCGCCCAGGAGCCCCCAGAATGCGAAAGGATGGCCCAAGACGCTCCCAAGCAGCCCAAGTCAGTCTTCCGACGGCTCTCGAGGCTCCCAGGTGGCCTCCAAGAGACCCCAAGAGAGGTCCGAGAGGTGTCCCGGGACGGCCCGAAAAGGCCAAAATCGTTGATTTGTTGTTTTTATGTTTTTGGCTTCTCGCGTTTTCGAGCTTCCAACGCTCCAAGAACGCCGAAGAGCCGCCCAAGACCGCCCCAAGACCACCCAAGAGACCCTCAGGACGGCCCCAAGCAGGAGGCTTCAGAGACCTCCGAGGGGCCTCCGGGACCCCCCAGAGGCTCCAACACACCCCCGATCCCTGAGAGAGTCTGAGTATGATTATGATGAGTAAAAGTCTGAATCTGAGTGGGTCTGAGTACGAGTGAGTCTGACTACGAGTGAGTCTGAGGGTGGGTGGGTCTAAATGTGAGTGAGTCCGAGTGTGCGTAAATCTGAGTGTGAGTGAGTCTGAGTATGGGTATGATGAATGCGAGTCGGAGTTTGAGTGAATCTAAGCACGAGTGAGGTTGAGGTTGAGCAGAAGTGAGCCTGGGACATCCTCACAATCTGGGCCCCCTTGGGGTGTCGAAACCAGCACCTCGCCAGAGGCGTCCTCAGACTCTGTTTTGAACGCAGACGAGTGGCCAACAAAACAAGCAAACAGCTCAAGACATCCCCTCATTATGTGCCCCCAGCGCTGCGAAAACCAGCGCCTCGCCCGAGACATCCTCCGAATCTGCTCCGAAAGCGGAGGATGTTGCGGCAGCAAACCAGCAAACCACTCGAGACATCCCCGCCATCTTGGCGCGAACGGAGGAGTGCAATACCCCCTGGCGGCCCCACTTGGGGGCGAAAACCAGCGCCTCGCTCAAGGCATCCGCAAAATCGAAAGCGGAGGATGTTGCGGCAGCAAGCAGGCAAACCACTCGAGACATCCGCGCCATTCTGGCGCGAACGGAGGAATGCAATACCCCTGTCGGCTCCCCCTTGGGGCTGCTGAAACCCGCGCCTCGCTCGAGACATCCTCAGAATCTGCTCCGCCAGCAGCATCATCATCAGTATCATTAGCATCATCATCAGCAGCAGCAGCGTCATCAACATCATCAGCAACAACAGCATCATCAGCAACAGCATCGTTATCATCGGCATCATCATGGTCTTCTTAGTTAGCATCATCAGTATACCATAACGTAGCAGATCATACTATAACATCACTCACAATACCATAGTATCACATTTCAGAACATAGCATGCCATACCATAACACAACAGACTGTAGCAGATCATAACCTGGCATGGCATGACATAACATAACATGAGGAGGAGGAGGAGGAGGGAGGAGGGAGAAGGTGTGAGCCTCGGCGCGGTCGGAATACTTATTCACTGCGTGGAACTCCCCATACGGGCATCTGTCTGCACGGGCCCGTCCGCCGTGAGTGTCTAGACACAAGGGTTGTTCGGAGATAAACTGGCTTTAAACGGGGTTTCGTATGGCTGAGTGCGAGTGTCAGTCAGTCTAGATATGGAAGAGTCTGAGTACGAATGGGTCTGAGAATGCGTAAGCCAGAGTATGAGCGAGTCTGAGTGAGAACGGTCTGAGTGTGGGTAAGTCTGGGTGTGAGTGGGTCTGAGTGTGAGTCTGATGAATACGAGTCTGAGTCTGAATGGGCCTGAGTACGAGTGAGTCTGACTACGAGTGAATGGGTGGGTCTGAGGGCGAGTGATTCTGAGTGTGTAAGCCTAAGCGTGAGTGAGTCCGAGTATGAGTATGATGAGTAAAAGTCTGAGTCTAAGTGGGTCTGAAAACGAGTGAGTCTGACTACGAGCGAGTCAGAGGGTTGGTGGGTCTAAATGTGAGTGAGTCCGAGTGCGCGTAAATCTGAGTGTGAGTGAGTCTGAGTATGGGTATGATGAATGCGAGTCGGAGTATGAGTGTGTCTAAGCACGAGTGAGGTTGAGCAGAAGTGAGCCTGGGACATCCTCACAAGCTGAGCCCCCTGGGGTGTCGAAACCAGCACCTCGCCAGAGGCGTCCTCAGACTCTGCTTTGAACGCAGACGAGTCTGGCCAACAAAACAAGCAAACAGCTCAAGGCATCCCCTCATTCTGTGCCCCCAGCGCTGCGAAAACCAGCGCCTCGCCCGAGACATCCTCCGAATCTGCTCCGAAAGCGGAGGATGTTGCGGCAACAAACAAGCACACCAGTCGAGACATCCCCGCCATCTAGGCGCGAACGGAGGAGTGCAATACCCCTTGGCGGCCCCACTTTGGGGCGAAAACCAGCGCTTCGCTCGAGACACCTTCAAACTCTGCTCCCGAAGCTAAGGATGTCGCGACAGCAAACATGCAAACCACTCGAGACATCCGCGCCATTCTGGCGCGAACGGAGGAATGCAATACCCCCTGTCGGCTCCCCCTTGGGGCTGCTGAAACCCGCGCCTCGCTCGAGACATCATCAGATTCTGCTCCGCCAGCAGCATCATCATCATCATCATCATCATCATCATCATCATCATCATCATCATCATCATCATCATCATCATCATCATCATCATCATCATCATCATCATCATCATCATCATCATCATCATCATCATCATCATCATCATCATCATCATCACCACCATCATCATCATCATCATCATCATCATCACCACCACCAGCATCATCATCATCAGCAGCAGCAGCAGCAGCATCATAATCATCAGCATCATCACCATCATCATCATCGTCATCATATTCATCTTCTTTTCTTCAGCAGCACCATCATAACATGTCATAGCGTAGCTTATAATCACCTAGCGTAGCATACCATAACGTAGCATACCCTACTTTACCATAACATACCATGCCAAACCATATCACACTATAACATAGCATACCATGCCATACTCTATCATAACATCACACAAACCATACCATACCATTACATGTGACGGGATGACATAACTGAACATGAGGAGGAATGAGGAGGGAGGGGGGAGGTGAGTCTCGGCGCGGTCGGAGTAATAGCAATAAGCCCATACTTTGGATACATATATATATATGAATAGCAATAACCCCATCTTCTGGATATGGGGAACAAAAAACTGCAACTGCATATGTACATCTACATCGATATACTAGAACCATCGCGCGCGTTCTAGCTAGGCTTGATCGGCTAACTCATGTAATATCATTATGGTCGCTTCTTGCGTCCAAGGACTCCCTCGGAGGCCCTGCGCAAGCCTCAGAATCGTATAGGAGGGGAAGTGCGGAAACGAAGAAATCGCTAATTTCCTTTCTATGTATTCAGCGATTTGGGGCCCTCCAAGGCTTCCGGTTTCTTTTTTGGGAGGTGAGGGGGGTCTGAATTGTGGTCTGCTGTGCAAGAGTAGACCGGGGCCAAACTTGGAGAAAAAAAAAGAAGGAATTGTGGGATTTCCATTTTTTCCAGGTCCTGGGCGCTGTTCGGCGCTGTTTTTTGTTTATGCCTCGCGGGTTTTGTTTGCCGGGCCCCTCAGGGGTGTGGGATCTTCCGGACCCCCTGGGGGTTCTAGAGGCCTCCTGGAGGCCTGGAGAGCCGTCGGAAGGGTGTCTCGGGCTGCGCGGGAGCGTGTTTGGCCGTTCTTTACGTTCTGGGGGCTCCTTCGGGTCGTCTGGGCTGTCCTTGGGCGTCTTGGGGGCCCCCCGGGAAGCCGGGAGGCGCGGTACCAGCCAGGTGTCAGGGGATGTGTGGGATCTCCGAGTAGGAGTCCACTTTGAAAAAAAAAGCGATTCTTGGAAATCCCTTCATTTTCTTTTTCAAAATCCTCGATCTTCGAGGGTTGGAAGCGGGAAATAAGAGAAGGTGAAAAACATTAGAAAAAACATTGGAAATCAACGATTAAACTCTCTTTGGGCTCTCGTGGGACGGCTCTTGCAGCTCTCTTGGGCTGTTCTTGGAACCTCGTCGGGATCTTTTGGAGCCACTCACGCTTAGGCTTTCACACACACACAGAATCACTCACACTCCGACCCGCCCATTCACTCGTAATCAAACCCACTCGTACTCAGAACCCACTCGGACTCAGACTCGTGCTAATTAGACTCACACTCAGACCCATTCACACTCATACTTACCCAAATTCATACCACTCTCATTCAGACTCGCTCATACTCTGACTTACC